ATATATATATATATATACATATATATATATATATACATATATATATATATATATACATATATATGTATATATAATTTTTTGACGGGCACTTTTAGAGGGGTAGTTCTTATTGCGAGATTCGACTTGAGCGAGGTGTTTTTAAAGGTTATTGGGATAAAAACACCATTCTGAAATTTGACGTTCCTAGAGGTGCACTATTAACCAGTTTTGGCTATATATGTAATGTCGCGTTCGCAGAAATTGTAGGTCTCCGTCTTCTCGGATCATTCTGTGCTCAAAGTCAGTTTTCGCGTGCGCTGAATTTCTGCTACCCCCACACCAACCTTACATCTAAGTGCATCTCGACGATCCAGCGATTACACGATCGCGGTCGTTGTGAATTTTACATCCGACTTTACGATTAAAAACCCTTCCTCATATTCACTTTCTGATTGCCTTCTGCTGTATTTACTTGATTGTAAATTACTAAAGACGAGTTTGTTCGGCGTTTCGCATTGTTGATGACGGATTTTTATTCACCGATCGTTTGGGCTGCCCGGGAATCTTCCTACTATGGTAAAGTGCTTTTAGTTTTCAACTGCCATGTATGCCTGTCAGATTTCCGAACCCAGCAGTATGCATGGATTTTGTTGTCGGGGGTTTGCTAATACTAACTATTGCCATTTTCCCTCTTCCTTTCGTTCGTAAAACTTCGCGAAAATTTCTCTGCTCCGCTCTGCTGTCTCCGATGCGCATAAGAATATGGGTATAACTACCAATGTCGTACTGTTTTCAGCGTACCGGATTACCTTCAACTGAACCCGGAGCTGGCGCTGAGCGTTCCACAATGGCCAAACCAAAGGTTATTCGAATAAACTCAGCGGGCGGTCCCATGCCACCACCGCCGCCACCACCAATCTCGCCATCTGCTCAGTTATCCAGTCAGTCACCGTCTTATTACGTTTCACAGTCGAGCAATCAGCGCAATTCTTATCAATTCCAACATCCTCCTCCACCTCCACCACCCAATTCAGCGGTTCCGAGATTAGGTCCAGATGTGGCTGCGTTATCCGCAGAGTTCGAGCGGCGGTTTCGATTCCTTAACGACAGAGACCTGCCTCCTCCACCAGCGTCATATAAAGGTCCCCGAACATATCGGACGGCATCTTCAAGAACAGGTTAGATACGTGTAGACCGGAGCAAGTGTTCCGTGCTTTGTTAAATTTGTCATATTTTAAGTTTTAGGGATTTTATTTAAGCAAGTTGGATAGGTATTACCAGTCGAATCTTGATGGTTGTACAATTTTTTTTACCCACTTCTGGATTTCGAATAGTGCCGAAGACCAATCGTTATAGCTAACGGCGTTCTTACGTTTGTATCGTTTCAGTATCCATAAAGTTTTCTCAGTCCATCCGTACTTAGTTTATCTTGCCCGTTTTCCCATTGATTTTATGTGATACAGAGCATTGAATACCAGGTACTCAGGTGCCAATTACGGAATTTTAAAGGCCCGAACAAAGTCATTTGTGTTCCGACTAAAAAAGTCCAACTTATTCACCGAGTAAAGTGCTTCAGATAACAATCGATGTTCCTCAGTACCGATGAGTTAGTTCGGCAGCTAAAGCTTCATGGACAGTACCATGACAATCCTTGACGGAGCCAGGATTATAATTCTGTATTCTTCTGCTGAGAATGACGTGCAGGATTTCTCTTGTTTTCCAAGGTGAAAGTGAGTCATAAAATCTATCATTACGCTGCATAACATAACCAATCCCTGCATTTACTTTTCGTGTATTCGAAGAGTAATCGCTCGAAGATTGTACAAACTTACATGAAGTCTGTAGATCGTTGTCTAAGTGTTAGCTTCCGTGATACTCGTAGCTGCGGTCGGTGGGAATGACAGTTACTCACAAATCACTGAATGCGGTCTGACCATATTGCAGTTAGGTAGATCAATGTCGCCCGGTTATGGACCACGCCTGACCTATCGGAGCCTTGTGTGGTTCCCCACTCCTAGTCCCGGGGATCAGGTTGCTGGTTACCATCACTGAACAGCAGGTCTTCGTGACTATCGGATCCGTCCCGTCTGTTGTTCATCACACATTGGTGTGTAATAATATAGCTACCGGTCAACGATCGCATTCTTCCTTTACTTAGTTTGCTTCAGTTGATGTTGATATTCTAATCGGCTTCATTTTTCTTCTGTCGCTCTCAAGTTTATGAATCTAATCAATGTAAACGGTTTCCAACACGACGAGACTGCCCCTTGACGTGGAGTGATGGCTTGTGCATCTCAATGACTCGACGAGCTACACAAGATGGCTTTTGTCAAGCCAGGAGATCTTATCATGCCAGGAGGGTCAATGGGTAGAGGTCAGATGAATTGATCTCTTGGTCCTCCAGGTTGGGGGTTTGACTGGAATTTGCGTTACAGTCGGTAAAAAATGGTGGAGGTGTAATCGATCCAAGTAAATGGGCCTCTACTTTGCTTCACCCGCTGCCTTGCGGTTAGGTTCTTGTCTGAACTAAAGGCTTTGGTTGAAAACCGTAATCGTTCTTCTGCTTAGTGGCTGGACACTACCAGTAGCCGTCCATCAAATCCAATGCATAGTTTGGTAGCGATCAGTGAAGTTCGCTTCACTGTATTTCGCTGTGCGATAATGATGAAACGGTTTCCACGATGAAGGTTTATTCTACACTGTTTTCCACATTGACTTCTCTAGTCTGTGTGATAAATCGCTTTCCTTTCATAAACTGAAAACACAATTCGACGGTCGTTCATATATATGGGCTACTGATGCAGTATGTGAAATAGGTGATTGGTGATTTGTTATATTTTTCAATGCGAGACTGTAGTAGAAGTTTAGGTATTGACATCTTTTCTTATTTGTAATTGTTATTCGGCTGGTTGTCTGCATGTTCCGCAGTGAAAGCAAGTTTATAAAAATAACCATTGCAGGTTACAGTTTTAGGTATTTGACTGTCCCTTTGGTTCTCCGTCTTCACTTTTCTCTCGTAGTTCCTCGTCGACCAGCTCCGGCGGCACCCGCAAGCCCTATGCGCAATTACTAACTGGTGCCAATGAAACGTTTCCTGGTCTTGTTCTTTTCTGACGGATGTCATGGTTGTGAGTCACACATAACAGAGCCCCGTCCCCAATTGGACTGAAGCTCTCCAACCCCCTGCTCCTCCTTCCCGAGAACTGTTCACGGATCTCGTCTGCCTGACCCAGTTTCATGATCACCGTGATGCCTACTACTACATTTTACTTCACGTCTTACGAGACGTCTATTTGCTCAACAACCTTGACTTCAATTTGACTTTATTTTGACCAACTGTAGCCCACGCAAACAAGAGACGATTTCCTTGCCCCTCGTCGGCTTTCCCTTGAACAGTCCATCATCCATCGGTTTCTCATATNTTTCATCACATCATCATCATTATCCTGTTCACAGCCATCTTCACATTTGTGCTGATATTCTGACTTTCCAGGTGTGCTTATGTACGCACTGCGAGTTCCAGCCTTAACCGTCCGTCCACGCAGACAGTTAATGGGACACCTAGATTGTCACTTGATTTTGCCGGATTGATTGGACTCCATTTATTCATCCAACTGATGATAGTGAGCTGTTGTATCCTTTCTCACGTTTCTCATTTTGTCTTCACCAAGGTCATGAATTATTCAACTTTGTACTGCTCCATTCTACCGTTAGATGCAATCCTTTGCTCTCTGTTTTGGATAATCGATTTGCCTTAACCCTGGCCCATCTTTATCCGCCCATACTCTGGCACCATGTATGGCACACATCCCATTCGAAACACTAACTTGAATTCGGACGTTTTGATTTTCTTATCTTGTTATTATGCAACCCCAAAGTAAAACGAGCCAATTAATAATGTTGATAATAAACAAGCATATACCTCCCACGACCCGCCTGTATCCTCCTACGTATCTCGACAGATACGTAGAAGGCTGTTGCCTGGTTTGTGCGGAACGGTTTCTATGTCTTACTTTCTTGAATGCGTTAACTTAGTTTGGGTTTGTTCAAACCATAGTTTGTCAACGTTTGCATGACTACTTTTTTCCTGTTGTAATGCGGCTTTATAGATTGGTTTGCAAAACACCCCGGTTTGCTTAATCGGCATATCAAACAGTTTTAGTTTCTAGACTAATAGTATCCACGGCATACATACGGCGGGCAACGAAAGTAAGGACGAACCGCAAAGAGGGCGACTGATATCGTGAAACCTCAGCGACGGTTGTACTACAATGATCTGTAGAGCCGAGCGAAAGAGACGCGTACAGGTGCGTTAGCGTGCAGAAAGTGAAAGTCAACGTGCCGGTCTTGGTCCGGTAAAATAACAAGTTCCGAATGTGGGAAATGTTCATATGTGGAGAAGGTTGATGTTGTCAGTACACAGTGAGTAGAGGGATTACTTGTTGTTTTGTGTGTGCAAAATGCCAAGGTTTGCCAACATTGAGCTTCTTAAGACTCCTGCGGGAAACAAAGCGCCAACGGTTCATGTGAGATAAGTGGTGGTGGTTCACGTGGTGACAAAAATAACGATTTATAAAAAACCTGGCCACGAATGTACATGTGTACACAGCTTCTTATGCCATCGACCAAACTAATTACCATAACGAATAGATTTTCGTTTTGCTCTCAGGGTCTGTCGATCGTAAGGGATGTGCGCGTAGACACGCAGAATATCATTGGCTCTTCCCAAGTAACTGTAGGACCAAAAGAAACTCACCGGGTTTACGAAGTAGATGTGAATAAACAACCTACGTGTGTATATGAAATAAACAATTATTTATATTTTACACGCCCCTGAGTCCAGACCGTATGCCAAACAAATCACGGTACAACAATCTTCAGTACAAAGAGATAAGTCCGTTACTTGCAAGTGGATGGTATGCAGCCAGGTTTCCCCTACCTGAGTAGTTGAATTTGCTTGAGGAATTTTACAACTGGGGCCGTTGACAAATCAAAGCTTGATCCGCAAGGTCGATGTGTGAAAACCACAATCCATTGTGGACCGCCGTCCAGTTCATCTGGCTGTGGACGGGGTCAGGTATCCAAGGTGCCCCATTGTGCACAATTATTATTATTGTGCCAAGGTGTGTGTGTGGTCCGTAAGCCTTTTCTTGACAGGCTCGGAATCAGATTTTAGCCGATTCCATTAATTGAACTGTCAGTGTTTCGCCCACCCGAGTGTCTCCAGATTGTGGCTTTTCGTCCTCTCTCCTACGTAGGAAAACACCTGCAGGCTTCCTCAGCAAATTTTTGAGACGTTCTGCTGTATAGCAGCATTTTCTGAGGTGCGAGGGAAGGGTGACCAGCCACAACCCAAGATGTCTACCCCTAACCACAGGCTTTCTGTAATAGTGGACAAACATACTATATTTTCAGGTACTGAAACGCTACCAAAAATCAGTGAGGAGAAATTAAGGCACTGGTGAGGTCTGAACATGAACTATGAGATGAAAAGTCGAGCACTTATATTACTAATCTAGTAGCCTATTAGTACTTCTCGGCATTCATGCTATCGACTGTGCATTTTCTGTTCGAGGCAATGTCACTTTTGAGGTCCTTGAGGCTTATTTCGATTTGACTTTACAAACATTGCTTTTGCGGTCATCTGACATAAAAGTGTCACGAGATCCACTTCTGACAGGGAATTTGTCATGTATAAAGCAAATGAAGCGTGAACTGGAAAGTTAGGAAACACCGTTTCAACGTGGTTAGGTCTCGTCAGCAGTGCGAATCCATCGACCCAACTGGGGAGTGAACCCGGTACCTCACAGACAGAATGCAAGCACCCACTCGACCCGCGTGCAGCCAGACGGGCGGTATTTCATTTTCCGTTTACACGATAAAGCACAACCCATCTTTGCTAACTTGTTGCGGGCATCACGCCTCACTCATCTCAGCACTAGGTCACGAAAGATATCTGAAATCAGGAATGTACAATCATGGCGTAGTTTTGCAACTAAATAAGAACACTGGTTTACACTTGTTACTCTCCGACGTGCATAACGAACGAAACCGAAAGTTCAAGGTCAAGAAATCTATCTTGATACTAATCAGACTTAAGGCATACAACTTGGAATTTCATTAGCTATTTCTCATGACAGCTATCACTTCTGCACTAAATCTGCGTATCCGATGACAAGGCAA